TTTTTAACATTTCAAGAGTTTCTGTTCCACTTTTCCCGAGCAAAAAGCAGAATTTCACCACTGCACGCTGTTCACGAAAATCAGCCATTGCAAAAACGATGATCACACAAAACAGTTGTCACTATAAACTCCACCAAAACTAGTCCTTACCTTCTGAAGCAACGGTAGTCGGCTTATCGACTCAGGAATGTTAGCTCTATGCGCTCTTAGCGGCAAAACGCGGTACTACAAAAGCTCTGCCCACAAAAAAATTAGTTCGGTATCTTTTTTGTACCCCATCGTATATTTGAAGTAATACAATATTAACAGCTATTGCCACCATGCATATTACTTTCGAACTGGAGATGATAGTATTACATTATGTATTCAGTATGAAAATAAATTGATTAATGTAATGAAATCCTTATTTAAGGTTTCTTTACAGAGAATTTGAAAACTAAACAGTGGAAAATCTTGAATGGATGGAATTATACTCTTTAATTATTGATTTGATCATTAAAATTGATCTTAAAATGAAAAAAAATATCTTAAGTTGAGGAACATTAAACATGGATTCCACAGCGAGTAACTCGGTGTAAACATTTTTTAGAAATACTGTCTAGTTCTGAACATGGTGTACATTTATATTCATACACAGCAACCTGCCAGGTTTGTTTCTGTTGGACTCAGCATGACCCTGGATTGGAGTGCGGTCTTCTGAATGCCAGAACCAGCTTGCCTTGAGTTATATTTATTTGAACATTTAACTGTCTACCACGTCCAATATCAATTTGCCTTTTTTTGTTCTAAACTTGTTGTTTTAAATCTTATGTTGGGACAGAATGCAAAAGTTTTAATGTCAGACCAAGTTTGATAGTTGACTTGAAAGGGGTTATTTATTTCTTTCCATTGCAGTGCAGGATATAGTTACTTAAAGAATGGTTTTTCTGGATTGGATTTATTTAGTGCTCAAGAATCTCAGTGAAATTAACATCTTCTGCATCTCTTGACGGAATTGACTGTATCCAATAAACTGGCCATATTTGCTTTTGGGGAAGATCAGTGTGAAATAAATGTGTTCTACCAATATTTAAAATTAAGTATTCATAAATTTTTACAGAAACAGTTATGCTTAAACATAGACACATTCTAACAGAAGAAGGATTATTTAAATTAAAATGGGCATAAAAAGGGTTATAAATTTTATCTTTGTCCCCTTTCCCATATGAAGGTTGTGTGTACTGTTAGCCTATGCAGTACTGAACATGGTAATATATTCGTTATAGGTGTCAATTGTTAGTGTAGGTTAGGTTCAATGTAATATTTTTGTTCAGAAATGATTATAATTTAAGATATTTGTTTTTATTTCAGTTATCTAGATAACAGAGTATTTGTCTCTTTGGCAAATGGTGACATCACCGTGTATGTGCGAGACCATAGTAAGTAATATTCACATGTCTTTCTGCATGTCCATATTGTGGCCTTCTGGGTTGTGACAATATGCTGTACTCTGGTATGTGGGTACCAGCATTTTGGAATAATGTCTGTGAGGTAGCATGTACTATCAAAATGCTGGTACCCACTTGCCACACTACAGCATAGTGTCATGTTTCAAAGGATTGCAATACAGATGTCATTGCCATGAACATCTCAAATCTGTGTTTCTATTATATGAGGAATGCATTAAAGCAGTGATTCCCAGGTTGTATCCCATGGTTAGCTGTTAAACACCAGTAAAGTCAAGCAGTTTTTGCGTGGTACATAGTGCAGTGAAAGCTGAAATTCTGTATAGCAACATTCTANGGACCCTCTCCCCAGCTGGTTCTCACTAGTACTACCTATTTCTCTTAAGATCCATTTTAATATTGTAGCATGTACAGTCATTGCTATGCAATGACTTTGAGATAGGCAAATAAACAACGGTATTATGCAACCCATTTCAAGGCAAGGGATCAGTAAACACATCCCCACTGCAACAAATATGCCCTCAACAATAGAGTAACTCAGATAGACTTGAAAGGATTCTGACGATGGTGTATACTGTACTTCTTTTGGCTTATTTTGGACTTCACCCATCGTCCGGTATATAAAAGACAAAAAACCACGACGTTTCGGAGACTGGATCTGTCTCCGTCTTCAGTTGGATAGGGAAGGTTTTAACCTACTCAGTTGGGCCCCTTAGAAAGAGCTGGTCTCAATCACTGGTCCAAAATAAGCCAAAAGAAGTACAATAGAGTAACTGTTGGTAACAGTGTTTACTACTAGTTCATGCAAAGGGGTTATAAGGAAGACATTTGGGGCAACCCAGTCAGTTGAGAGTTGAATTCTGTGAGGGAGGCAGAGGAAAGATGGCACTATAGTTCAGTTGTGGGATATTTGCCAGACAGTAAAAATGTGAGCACAGAAGCTGAAGAATCTCCATAGTTGCGAGCTGTTACCAAGCAGTGACTAGTGAAGACACTGCAGACTGTAGAAGACTTAACGTGTAGTGATATGTAAAGTGTGGAAATCAGCAGTGCGCTTGCTGTAATTACTTGTAGTTCCGAGTGATGTGTATAAGTGGTCACCATCCATGCCCTGTCTATAGTCACACCCATACAAATAACAATATCATCTTTCCACCTCTGCCTGGATTTCTTAATGTGCTGTCCTTCTGTGAGATTTTCTTTTCACAAATTTTGTGTAAATGTCTTATTTTTATGATAATTTTACTGTTTCCTCACCCAGTATTTGAACACATTTGTCATTAAACTCTGAATTTATTTATTAGGCAAATTTATAATGTAGTGAAATTCTCTGAAATTTTAAAGAAATAGTCTTGATATTGTTATTCATGTTGACTTTCATTCCAAAATGATCAGAATTTTATGTTCGATCCAGAACAGTCGCACATGCTGTATGCACAATTGCATGATTATTCTTATGAACAACTGGTGCATTTTTCTTAAGAAACATATATTTTTTGCAGAGTATATGTGATTAATGAGCTTGACGATGAACAGCTTACATGTTTTATTGCATTTTCTTTAGCAGATTTAAAAAGAAATGTGACTTTAATGTGAGATTATCTCTGATGCAAAGGGACATCTTGGAGAAATGGGGTTTCATTATAAGGCCCTATAATATGATTACACTCACACGTCATTATGTAATTTTTCAAATCCATTTTAATTTCTTTCACTTATGTTCCTCAATTTTGTGTAACGATCAGGAATCTTGAGCACACATTGATCAAATAAGTGTCCTTGTTGCAGATGGTGGCTGGAATACAACAGACCCATTTACAGTGTCAGTGGGGACTGCAGCGACTCCAGTCACAAGGATGCTGCCAATAGCAGGCAAACTGTGGTGTGGCTGTCATAATGCTATTAAGATACTCAACACTGCTTCATTGGAAGTGGAGGTGAGACTGATTGAGTCTTGACAGCAGTATACAGGACATGGCGAACACAATCTTTGCTTGGTGCAGCTACAGTTAAAGTAATCTGAATTTATTATTAGCATTTCCTGTTCTATTATTTTATTTATTTTTGCTCTACTTCACGTTTATTGCAGATGCTCACATAGTATGAAAGGTAGGATGAATTGGAAAGGATGTGGAAGGACGTGGTCTTGGCTTAATTTAGGGTACTGTCTTGTCTTTCATCCGTAGAGATTTATGAATACCACTAAAGACAACGTTAGTCATCTACTCTTTGTGTCAAGATTTGAACTCAGAACCTCCTTAATATAAAGCATACATGTTAACCACTTGACTGCAATGTTCAGTTGCATTTTCTGCTGTAATGGGATATTATTCTGATCAGATTTAATATGTTGTACATTCACCTATCAAAATTCTTTAAAAAATTTTGTTGGTTTCTTAGATGTTTGGCCATCTCATGTATCCATGCTTTTCTTAATATAAACCTTACAGAACTAATGACAGTGAGTGTTTATTGTGACGTATTATCTGCATGAACATGTGAGATTTGAGGTTCTAAGCAGAGAATATTAATGTCAGGGCCTTCTGAAATGTGATGCCATATGGTTTGGTAGATACGTACAGTATTTTGGAGGAAGCTGTTGTTATCATTTTCAGGGTTGAAGATGGTCAAAGTCGAAGTCAAAGTCAAAGTCACTTTATGACTGATGGTTTACCACCAATCAGTTCATCTTGGAGTCAGGCCGCTTGAGGCCCACGACCAGAGATTCTTTTGTTCAACTGAGTCTTTGCGATAATAGTCCCTATGTAACATCCTCTCTGACAAGAAGATGGATTTGTCTCTTATGAATATGATTGGCTTTTTGTCAAATATATATTTCGCACATATAGCATGTTATTGAAAATTCTTCCTTTTGTGCTACACACATGTCCTCGTGTCTTGAAGATGGAAGCAGCAGATCCCTCTTAAATGTTTGTACCTGAACAGCATCACATCCCAGAAGACCATA